TTTGAGAAAGGCTTGGAGAAATATTTAACAATAAGAGGCTCTTGTGTTGCATGCAAATTGTTGCTTACCCTCAGTGTAACACTCACAACATAGCGTGCCGTATTCACACTATTAAATACACTGGCATTTTACATCTGCTTTTAAAAGTATGTTAGAATACCAACACAGCCTAATCTTACTTTAGACAACATAAATAGACATTCATAGCCAGATCCCACTTGGTTACAGGGTAATATCTTAGCCAGATGTAGAAAACCCCGCTCAGTAACATTATATCTCAGGCTTAAAGTGACCTGTCAATAATGCTGATTGGTAGAGAATGCGGGAACAACCAAGTTCACTCAACACTGATTAAATCCTGACGATAATATCTTTACAGCACATCAGTCATACATATTCATCAAGCTCTGACATGCATCTGTTAAGTAATCACAGAAGGGGAAATATAGACATGGGTGGGAACAATGTCAACACTTTGTATGATGTGTGGCAGTAAAGCACTAACACTTAAGTAATGGGTTTGCTGCTGTTTATATGGCTTGATGTGAATAATGCATTTAAATCAAATGTTTACAGTAGAGATGGCAGAATGCAGCTTCTCTGATTTTCAGTTTTATGGTTTTAGTATCATGTTATGTTACAGACACACTTAGCACTAGCACGAACAATTCATCACACCAAAACAAATGTGGTTTATGTTTCATCTGTTCTACAAGACGGGTGACATGACTGCTGTCTTCCCTCCAGCTGTACAGATGGAGAAGGGGGAATGGCTGAAAAAATGCACAGGGTTATTAGATGGAATCAGGGATTTGGCCTGATTTTGGAAAGTAAAATGCTACTTTCCTCCCACTGTCCTTCTGCTCTTTGCTCTCATTCTCCCCCCCCCCCCCCCCCCCCATTTATCAGTGTTAATGCTCTCAATCTGTCAGTGATTGCATTATAATTTGCCTAAAATGAGCCATAATGCGCATCCTAAATGTAATGTTGCCTCAAAACCAGATTAACCCCCCACAAGATGCACATGTGTATCTGTGCCTGTGTCTGCATATGTGTGTGTGTAAACAGTATTTGCTTGCCAATAGCTTTAATCCAGCATATTTTTGAGCATTGGAAAAAAATAGAATCCCTTCAAACACAGCCAAAGGATGCAATTGGACATGAGGAACACATGGACAGGCAAAATCCGCACATTGCACACACACGCACGCACGCACGCACGCACGCACGCACGCACACACCACACACACACACACACACACACACAAAACCATGATTGGAGAAAGTGAACACATGTGACTACAGTGTGACAGGACCTCATTGCAAAAATAGAGACTGCTCTCCTAGTGAGTAACACCAAGTAACAAATACAAGGTAGTTACCATACTTTCTGGATCCGCATATTTTTACCAAAATATTTAAAAAAAGGAATAATTTAAACCAATCCCCATTCTGATTATATTCCCTACACAACCACATGTTGTGTTTTCTGCTGTAGGAAGATGCCCTCTTGCAATGACTGCACTTAAGAAAATCTAACAATAACAGTATGTGACGGAATAACTGGAGCCAATGCGAATGTGCTGCTCATTATGCACTTCATGAATTAAATATCAAGGTATGATTAAAATACAGATAGGTTGCATTGCAGTTGGTACTTTTATAATCAAATTACTACTGAGATGTTTTTTAATTTTTTACTGGTTTTAATTCTTATCTGTTTTTTAAATTCTCACTCTCGAACATTAGCTAGCAGGTGATCTCTCGACTCTTGCCACGCACAGTCGCACACCCTCCCCTTCAATCATCTAACATCTCCTACACTGCTTGACATTTTTCCCGGGAGACGGAGCTTGGCAGGTCCTCTCTGACAGACAGTCAAACAGACAGGTATGGTTATTAAATATGTATTGCAGAGCAGTGATAGGACACCCGGGGCCATTAGCCATGATAAATATATAATCTAACTGTGCTACATATTTCAGCCTCCTGGACGAATGGCATCCTTGCATACAAGCCGTCTGATGAGCATCCCAATGCTTAAATGCATCTCAATTAGACTGAGCGTCAGCCCTCATTTGTTGAGGCAGGGATCGAGATGGAATAGACCAATGTATAAAAGAACGAATGAATAAATAAGCAGTGTGCCGGAGGATGGGGGGGGGGAGAGGGAGCTGGGACCAACAGCAAGCGGGTTTGCTGATAGATTGCGTGTGGGCAGGCCTTAAACTTTAATCCCTTCTGGACTGTTTTATAGCAAAACAACATCAGTATATCTCTCACAAACTCTTACTTGTTCACTCTCAAGGTATTTTGTTTTATTTCTGTACCACCACCGGTTCTCTCCTCTCTCCTGAATACCTTGTTTCCCTAAAATTGCCAGTGTCTCTTCACCACTCAACTGTCATCAATCTTTCCCATATCTCTAAACTTGCACCACCTTTACTAATCATCATGTCATCCCCCTTTCCTTTTCTGCCAGTGGGTATAGTCCTTTATTTTCCCAAAACATCTTCCCTTACTCTTCTGTCTCCCTCCTTTGCAAATTAGTTTTATATTTTCCATCTTTTCTGCCTTTGTTTGTTCATTCCTCATTTGACTCTAAACTACCTCTGCCTGAATCCCTCTCCTCTGGTATTTGAAGTGTTTTATTACAAATAGAGATTTCCACCCTCTCGAATGACTCCTAACATGGTTTTAAAATAAGTCAGATTTTGACTGGAGCTAAAAGTATTTAAATATTTGCTTTCTAAATGGTTTTAGGTCAGCCATCTGGTTTTCACACATTGACTGATAATTCAGAGACCTTGTTTGCCTAAATTGATTTGTAGCATTTTGGCATGATGCCGTATACACCTCTTTATCTCTTTTCTACCTGTTGTTCCCATCACTTTCTCTCCTGTCACTTTCATTACTTTCTTCCCTCTCACCTTCCTTCCATGATGACAGAGTGTGACTCAGAGAATGTTGACAGTGAGCCAGAGGGCCCAGGCTGTCGTTGAGGCCCCTTGGGAATCAATCATCGGAGCCAAGATCAATACCAAAGGACCGTATCGTGGACCGGCCATTGCCCCGGCTGGCAGCGGCTGACTGATGAGCGGACCCACTGCTACACCGGGCAAGAACAACGTTTAAGGCAGAGCCCACGCTCATTTAGCATGCACCGCTGCACAAATACTGAAATGCACAAATACACCCACACCGAGACATGGTGTCATCAGTCACTCTGTAACAGATACATGCAAATGTGTTTGCCCCATGTGCGCATGGATGCATTCTCATACACAACCTGCACTATCCATGATGTAACTTAATCTCTCCCCAACAGCCCGGCATGCATCCCATCCCATCTCATTCAGACCCATTTCTGTCTGAAACCAAATTTGGTGTACCACAATAACTCAAAGCCTTTTTCCAATTCTTCCGCTGCAGAGGCCCGATGATGGGCCCCCTTATCGACTCGGTTTTATACAGCAGCACAACATTTGCCCACTCTATTCATCACTGTGTGGTCCTCTGCAGGGGAAACTACCGCTTATCAGCACACTACGAGCCAATTAGACTGACATAATAGGGCTGAACCGTAGTAGGGGGTGAAATTGGTGCAGAGTGTGTGATCCTTAATGTGTAGTGTACTTTAATGGCCCGATACATACAAAAACATGTGTCTCTGGCAATTACACCAAATCTAGGGAAATCAAACAATAGGCATGGTATGAACATTGACACATTAATGACTATGATACTGCTGCGCTCTGAAAACACTTTCCGCTTATCTGCCTCACACATTAGGTGTTATTACTTCTTCTCCTTTGGCAAACTGCAGGTATTACCTTTGACATTAATATGGATAACACCCATCTTTCTTTATATTCACTGGCAACAACTAATAAGGCGTAAACCATGTATTCATTTTCTGCTTGCAATAATGTTTATGGATGCTTTCAGTCTGGGCGGATAGGGAATGTCAACACCACAAGGACAAAAGACAACGAACAGATACTGCTTCAGACTACAAATGTTTACTGATTAGGTCCATGTTATTCCAGCCTGCTGACTCGAATTGACCTTAACCAGAACATTAATCGGTGCCACTTATGCTGATTGTAATAACATGGTATCTGACCCGGGTACATCGAGCTGATTGTAATAATGTCAGTGGAGATAAACATAGCAGCACTCAAATAGTTTCTTACAGCATTAGCATCAAATATCCAAACTGTTTTGTTTTTTTCCTCAATAAAAAATAGCCACTGACAAAAATACTGTTTTGACAAATAAACACTGATATCCATGTAGTATTAAGGTGAATGTAAGCTGAAGCAACTGTTAATGTTAAAGGAGGTTTACCCTTCTTTTTTCTTAGAGTAAATCAAGCAAATATCAAGGATTCAAAAGATTATGGTTGAATTCATGTTCAAAATCATTCATTGTTCCTTTTTTAAGTATTTGGGAGTGTCATCCTCCATATCGTCTGCTTCCTTGGAGATTATAGGTTGCCATGTCATTCCTATATTAATGAAATTGAATTGAATGTGTGTGTATGGTGCAGGAAAGAAAATAAAGCATACATGAATAAACAACAGTTTGTCCTTTCAACATGTGGCAGATGCTTTTACCCAGAGTGCTTTACTGGATTGCCCTACAGGGAATGGAACATTACCCTTGCCGTATTAGCACCACACTTTTATCCATTGTGCTGTATCAAGATAAAGCCTTTGAACTAAAGGACATCCTTCCTGATCATAAAGTACAGTGGGAGCAGCTGTCTGCACAGTCCTGTAGCTGGGCGGGAATTACTCACTGTATAATAGACCTTTTAATGCGATCTCAACCTTTAAGTGAGAAGCAACTAATGCTCTGTAGGATTTCACACAGACTGCGGTGGTATTTGTTCAGAACTGGGCACATCTGTGATTGGTTCTCCCCACAACCGTTAAGTCGGCTGTTGGTTAGCAGCTCAATGCTGAGGCCTATGACAGAAAACATAAATGACACACCTTGTCTCTGGAAGAGTTTGCTGCTGACGATTTCAGTCATGGAGGCCACCTTCTGTTTCTGGAGTGAGTTCACCTTCTGTTCCTGGAGTATCTCAGGGGGGATGCAGGAATAAAAGTCATGCAGCAACTCACTGAAAAGAGAAAGCAATAGGCAGTGGAATAAATAATCAGCATAATCATTATACGGAAGGAACAACAGGCTTGTTTTCTTGAAAATGAGCACAATAAATAATTTATATATTTATTATATTTATATTTTTCCACAGATTATAGCAGTATTTTTTAGTTTTTAACATAATCTCCTTATTCATTTTTTCCCACCTTGAAATTGATTCAAAGATCAAAGAAGGAACCACGACTCAGTAACTTAAGCTTTGAACATTTCTCCTTCGAGGTCATAAAATATGCAACCACTGAAAGCACAGCGCAGCATAGACATGGGTAAAGCAGTGTATGCCGCATAAAAACAAATGAGCCACAGCCTAAACAGGCTTTAATGAAGACACAGGTTTGAATCATCCTACGCCCCCCAAATTCAATTTTAGAATAATTAAACAGCCTGGTTGCAAGCCCCGATGCCACTTAGAAAGATTGAATACTCACAGCATGGCAAACCCTGTGTCTACTTGTTTGTATCTCACTTTGTTTCTGTCTACTTAACTGATGGCATACAGGCTGCAACAGCACTGTCACTGATGGTATTAAAAATGAAATGCACAACCCCCGCTAACAAACACAACAAAAGGTTTGTTTAACTTTTGGTGTGCCTAAGCTGGCAGGAGGACAGGCTGGGCCCAGCTGACTTATCAGGCCCAGTAATCATCTGAGTAGAATGTAATTAAAACCCAAAATGTCAGCATATTCCCACATGGACAAACAAAGGACAACTAGAGCAAACAAAACACAGGCATAGCTGACAATGTCTGTGTTTGTAGGCTCGGCGGATCACACCATAGGTGAGTTTACAAGGTGCAGGAATGTGACTATACCGAAGCTGAGACACACCTATTTCGCACTGATTGTAATTCACACAGCATGCTTTTGGAAACTCTGCCTGAGGCCGTTCTGATCAGGAACGCAATGGGGACCTTACTTTCAAGTGCAGATGGCTCGGTATATTTTTGCATGTGGGTAAAGAAACGCAGAAGACGGGAGGCATGAGTGTGTGGAAGAGAAAAAGAGAAATTGAATGACAGAAAGTGAGAATATATGCACTGATTTTGAAACTCTATGCCCTTCATCACCTTTCTACCGGTGTATTTGCGAGTTATGGTCTGTGTGGCAGGTGTTAGGTAGCACCTTCGTGACACTGTGTTGACATCGAGCCACTACAGGGACTTAAGTAGGCAGATGTGGATAATCCACAAACACACAAAGGCACACGGATCACAGAAAGGTGAAAAGCACAACTGAGGATAAGGGTGTTTAAAATGGAACATTGCTGGTAGGAAAACATCAATTAACATATTTTGCTAAGGTAAAAAGGTCATACCAAGAGAATGGATCATTGTTAGGTTGTGGAATTGCTAGAGGACAAACAAAGTGCCTAAAATACTGCTGAGGTATATAAACTGATTCGGGGTCAAAGAGAGGTTAAACTAGCCATTCCAAGTAATTTCGCTCGTTAGGAGGATGAGAACCTGAGAGAAGGAGTTCAAATGGGTTTTGTCTCATGGTTTCACTGCAATTGTCAATTCACTCAGGGGCATAAGGAGGAGGCGCAGATTGTGTGTCCTTGCGTGTATGTCAGTTTGATGAGATTTGTATCACCTGATGAAGAAGGTGCGGCTGAACCAGGGCGGAAGGTGTGGGACAGAAGGATGGGGGTCACTGAAGAAAGCCAAGACTAAAACCTCAGCTGAACTGAAAGCTCCCCTCCTCTGTCAGTGTCACTGAATGAGACCAAAGATAAGGAGCTGGTGTGTGTGTGTGTGTGTGTGTGTGTGTGTGTGTGTGTGTGTGTGTGTGTGTGTGCGTGCGTGCGTGCGTGCGTGCGTGCGTGCGTGCGTGCGTGCGTGCGTGCGTGCGTGCGTGCGTGCGTGCGTGCGTGCGAGTTGGTGTGCCTGAGTGTTTAAAGGCAAGCTTACCTGAGAAGTTTGGCATCAAACACTTTCTCAACATCATGCAGGACTGTTGGCAGGTACTTCAGAGCAGCAACCTGATGAAACACACACACACACACACACAGGACAAGTAAACACTGTTAAAAAGCTGTCTTGAAATCCTGTGGAAGATGTTGGTGAACAGAAGGTGACTTTGCCATCAAATAACTTCTGATCAGAAGTGTGAGAAAATATCTATTTTATGTTTTACAGGGCCACTAGTTCTTCTGCTTAACTTTCTGTGACTTGATCTGTTTGTATGTCTTTAAGCAGCAGAATAGTGATCGCATTAGAGAAGTTTGGGATTGAGGAGGAAGAAGATAAATCAGAACCAGACAGGTACATGTAAAAAAATATATATAATAGAGCATAAGGATGAAAAAAGGTAAAAATGAGAGCTGGGTGATGAAGAATGGGGTTCAAGGTGAAGACGTATGATTACCCTGAGCAGCAGAGTGGTGGTGTAGTCTGTCCTCATCAGGCTGTTGATGGATTCAAAGAGCCTCCTCAGCGACTCTTCAAACTCTGCCTGCTCCTTCCCCTCGTACAGCCTAGGAGGAGGAGGAGGAGGAGGAGGAGGAGGAGGACATCAATGGAAATGCAACAGGAAAAACTGAATGATTTTCTGATGAATGAGGCAAACATTAGAAAACAAGACACGATTAGAAAGGGGAATGGAGTAAAGGATGGAGGTAGGAACTGAAAGATGAGAGAAAATAACAGGGAGGAGAATAATCATTGAGGTGGGAAGGTGGGGAGAGAAAATAAGACACAAAGTGTAAAAACAAAGATGGCTGGCAATAAACTCAAGTTGAATATAGATGAAGGCAAAAACAGCCTTATTTAAAAAATGTTTGATCAACATTATGTAACAAATATTGAGTGTAACGCACAAAATAGTCAGTAAATTAATAACTAAAATATGAAACATTTAAGTTTGATGAACTTACAGGGTTCACAGTTTCACTTTTTTTCAAGATTCCTTGTCAAGCCAGAGCTAGTTTTCTCTGTCAGTCTCAGAGTTATCTAGCAACAGGGAAATTACTCCTAGATTATGTGTTTTTATGGAAATTGTGAGTCAACTGAATTGGTTGCAGGTCCTCGCTTCTTTCTTTAATAATATAGTTTAAAATATATTCAAAGTGAAGGTGCTATACATGTAAAGCTTACGGTCAATATTTTATTTAACATATAAAGTTGTAAGACAAAGAAGTCATTCTGGCAATGTAATTATTCTCCAACTCAGTGCAGACTTGTAATTCAATGAATTCTATTCCAAAGTGCTGCTGCAAACTAATAAAGTATTATGTGGACAAGGTTAAAGTAAACATTGATAAGTACCAACTGCAGTGATTAGAACAACCCTCCTCGGACTTTGGGTGATCTTTGTTGCTGCTTTTTCACATCACAAACAAACACCCACATATTCCTCTACCATCGCTCGAGTTTAACTTCCTCCACCCCAAGGAAACGTCTCTCTCATCCATCTTTCCTTCCCCCCCATCTCACTATCTCTGTGTGATTCAGTGGAGCTTTGCAGTTATTAATTACAATAGAAGTGTTGGGTTCTGGAGGGAAGGATTAGCATGTGGCACACAGCAAATGTAGCATGTGCGGGGAGGGATTATGCGGTAACACACGGCGGTATTATCACTGGCCGCTTTGCAGAGTACAGTTATGATGACAGACCCAGTGTCCTGCTTAATCCACAGGCCCTGTCTGTGCATGAATATGTGTGTGAGTGTGGGTGTGTGTAAAGAGATGATGTCTGGATGCATCAGGGTCAGAGATGCTGTCATAACACCAGGTTGAGAACTCACACCACATATATACAGCTCTGAGAAAAATGAAGAGACCACTACAAAATGATCAGTTTCTCTTGTTTTACTCTTTATAGATATGTGTTTGAGTAAAGCAATTTGTTTTGTTTTTATTCCATAAACTACTGACAACATTTATCCATGTTGGAATTCAACAGATAAAATAATGGAATGGCTGCCATACATGTAGAGATTGAGATTTAGAGAAAATGTGGAATGGTCTTTTCCAGAGCTGTATAAAAGTACACAGTACACACTGTGCTCACAAACACACAAACACACACATCAAGCACACGCACAGAAGAGCGATAACACATATACATTAGACTGCTCAGCAAACAAATACTGAAGATATACGGAGGGAGCCATGTAGGGCAGGGTATCAACAGAAATGGAGTGAAAGACCCTGAAGAAAAGTCTGAAAAATGCTTCTCATTGAAAACAGAGCAGATGTCCTAATAGAATCCTAACTGCATTAATAAGAACATATCTTGATCTTAGAAAACATACTTATTTTGTCGGTGAAAATGTGAACGCTGTGTGCTTTCGCTTTGGAGAGAGGGAGAATGTTTAAAAAGGAGGAATGAAGTAAAGATAGATGGTAAACCTAAAGATGAGAAAAAGGGATGGAAAGAAGGGGGACGAGGAAAGGGTTAGACAGGAGGAGAAATATAGAGCAAGGGCTCCGGGGAAGGAAAAAGGAAACACACACCTGATGAACTAGACTAGTGGAAGTAATGTGAAAGCTGCAGGGCCTGAAGGACAGACAGGAGGTGAAGGAAAGAGCAAAATGTGGTACAGCGTGCCTTACATATTTTTGAAGCAAACATCACGCGTTTCTAATAGAGTTTGCTTGAACACAAAGTCGGTTTGACAAGCTAATACATCTTCAGTGCCGCCTATTTAACTATTTATGAGTGGTAGTCTTGATGATGATGGGACCTTACAGGTGCACCTAAAGAACCACTGGCTCCCTTGAATACCCAATTCTCCGTTGGCATGACAAGGAGGAAAAACCTCAATGTGAAAACTTTATATGCAGAGCAAGAAGAAGTTATCGGCTGCAGGTAGGGAGAGGGCGACAGATAGAAGAAAAGAGAGAAGGGAGGGAGTTTTATCGGTTCAGAGATACCCAGGGGAGGCTGGGGACAGAAGCTCAGTCAATCCAGGAGCAGTGGAACACGCGAACTAGGGCTGAACGATTGATCGATTTTAAATCGAAATCGCAATTTGAAATGATGCGATTATCAAATCGCAAAGCCTGCGATTTCTTTAAAAAACGTTTATTTATTTGTTTCTTCTTGTGTGACAGTCATCCACACCAATCAGAAGTGCTGTGCTCCATATGTACCAGCCATTGTTAACCAATCAGAAGTGTCCCATGATAGAAGGTGATAGACAGATTGATCCCATCACCTGCCAAGTATTTTTGAAATACTTTTCCAAATGGCTTCCAATGGAGCTTTCCTATGGTTTGGTGAAACAAACCATCTGAGTCAGGTTAGTAATGCTCCATCACCTGTTTCTATTACAGGGTGAATCTTAAACTGAAGCTTGACTTTAAAGCAACCCAACGTAAGTTTCATGTAAGTTTAGTTCTTTCACTCGTGGCTCGGGCTGCGGGGGTGCTAGAGATGGGAGCACGTTGATGTGACCTTCCTAGCCGAAGATATGGCCGCATTTTACAATAAACTTCCGTTGGGTCGCTTAAAAACAAATATCGCAAATCGAATCGCAATATCTGTCAGAAAAATCG